ACGAAAAGAGTTTCTAATTAAAAGGACGCATGCAATAAACTCGAGGTCATTAAAAATAGGAAACTTAGTGAGAATTCACGGCTCCGAGTGGTATAAAAAATATACCTATCTTAATTGCAGCAGCGCAGCTTAGAAAATAAGAGTGGAAAAGTAATTAAAAGTTTCTGTTTATCTATGCAAGGTTGGTGTAGAAACTATCGTATGAAAGGAAATTAAAATTACGAGTTTCAACTCAGCTGCCAACTACCATGAGAACCAATTTTTCCAGAAATTGAACTTATATTTACCTAAAATTTCACAAGTAACGAACAACAAAAGTACCAAAATGCAGCTGTACAATTTGACCTGGCTATTCAAAATTTACTTGTGGTTTTTTATCTTTGTAAAACATCGCAATGAAAGAAACTCGCATGAATTGTGAACGCTAAAATTCCGAAAACAACGAATAAATATGCTTAAACATCCACAAAGAAAAATCACTAAATTTTCCCGTAACACTCATAAGAATCTCGTTTAAACTCATTTCATTGCACTATGAGTTCGCGGAACGACCTTTTCCGAAAACGCTCGACATCTTTTGCAGTAGTTCCACCGCGAACGCCGGGTGGATCTGTAAGTGACCTGAGCGTATTGACAGAAATCGCCATAATTCTGTCTACTCCCTTGATCAAAACACGTCGAATATACGTATATCTCAGCTAAGCTGCCGAAACATCATGTGATCGAAAAACTCTGAGCTCTCGATCCATTAAGCGATGGCGCCTCCGCATTAGTGACCAATTCCAGATTTGACAAACCAACACGAGCAACATTTTCTGACTCGGGGTAGAACCCGAGTAATAACTGGATAAAGATACATAATGATGAATCAATCGCCGGTAACGGATACACCACGGTAACCTTTCGCGACAGACATACGATTTGACTGACACAATTACTAAAGGATTGATTTGCTTTCAGCGAAACTTCTAAAGAAGACCCATTCAAGCAAGGTTTCTCACATTTTGGATTTGTTTCATTTGTGGTGAGTAA